CTACTCTGCGAGCAACAACCACCTCACCGAGCTCCCTAACAAGGCGCTGATGATATCACCTCGATTAGTGAAGGGAGGTTTGCGATCGAATTGCGAGCCTGGCGACAAAACAAACCATCAAATCAGCATGTAGACAGTGCACTCAAGCGTTAACCGTATCATGATTTTTTCCAATTAACCATAGCTAATAAGTTTATTTCAAAGCAGGATGACCTGTTAACTCAGGAAATTAATGGGCCCTATAGCTTATAGCATGCTTCATCCACAACCACCGCGACTATGAATTGATGTCCCGAGTGTTGGCTAGAATGATAGCCTTGTGGAATCATATCAGCTTGCGAGATAACCAGAAAAGTCGGCTAGAGGAATTACATCAGTTGGGTTACACTTCTGGTTGAAATTATCTCTCATTGCTTACACAAAAGGGCCACGAGCCTAAGCGCTTTTGAATTTCACTAGGCATTCAAAATTAGGCCCACCACTCTAGGGGCTAAGGGCCCATCACAGGAACATAGCTTAAACAGAAAACGCCTGTGATTGACCGCAGCGCGCCATTTGCTGACACCCGATAAGCTTGGCTGTTGAGTAAAGTGAATGCACTATTCCTTATTTCCATCGACTAATTCAATCAAAAATTGCAAATTGTCAATCGGTTTGCCTTAATTTTTACAACGCTTACAAAGGTGTGAGATAACTTACGGTGAACGTTTCACGTTCATGAGCTAATGTTTGCAGCCCCAACGGGGGTTGACATGTCCCTAACTTACATCTGGCGAACGAAAACCGCTGCGAAATTGTCAAATACATTCGTGCACAAACCACACAAATGCCATAGTTGCTTGTGGTTATTTAAAAACGATATTTTCTCAGCAATTGATGATGGGTGGACCAATTAAATTCTAAGACACCATTTGGCAAGTAGTACAAAATTTTGGTAACACGCGAGAGAAAACAAAATCAATGTTAGTAGATTGAGGCAAAGCCAGTAGTCTTCTTCCCGGATTTTGTGTGCTTTTACTACAAAGCGAACTGTCCAAAGCAGTTTTGTACATGTATACTGTTGACTTTGATCATCGGAAACTAAACGAATTGACGAGCTTGCCCGGTGGAGAATTAGAGACCAAAAGTTCTGAACGGAATTAGGCGCAAGCCTTCCAAACTGTAAATATGATCTGCTGCCCCAGTGCAAAAGTTACATTTCGGCCAGAACCAATCAAATATAAATTTCAAGTCGAGCGGATTAGAATAGTATTAGAACAGAATTAGCCTGTGAATGTAGTTGAAAGGAAAATCCACGTGTCACTATGATGTGAAAATCTGTGTATGACATTTATAAACCCTTAAACGAATTGCCCTCCATTAGCATTCCAAGTTGCCAAGCCGAGATGCATTTGTAGTGCTCATTTATCAGATGTATTGTCTAGATGGTCAATGTGAACATTACACTGGAAGAACCGCTAGAGTTGATACCGATTGGGATGATTTGGAGGTTTTAAAGGCCGTACACAGTGGCCGGGCGGAGTAGGCTTAGCACGCGGCCAGAACGTTCTCTCGAGGAATGGAGCGGAAATCCTTGCAGCGCCGACCGCCAAAATTTTATGAGGCGCTTCAAGAAGACCAACAGGGCACTCGGTTAAGACTTGACCATTTTCGTCGCCAGGAAGCATTAGTCGTTGGATTAGCGCTTTGCGTGAAGGTGCTGGTGCAAATGGTATGGTAAATGGCTGAGTTGCCGCTGGAAACTAAGCAGCCTCGGGAGTGCAAAATGGTTCAACAGTGGACGTACTGTAGACCAGAGTGGACCAACTAGCGGAACAGCTTGCAGCTATACAGACGGAGACGCGGAGGCGCACTTGAACGAGGCGGTGATACAAATGTGGCAGACCAGGCCATTGGAAACATCAATGCCCTCGTACGCGAACACCTGTATATAATAATAATTTAGATTACTTCTTTTAGCCAGGTGGGATGGAATTAGCTCCGTGCACAGTCTACCAACCAGACCGTTATCCAGATGGACGTAAAGAGAGTTTTCCTTGATTGGTCTATGGTAGGAATATCGCTCAGGCAAACAGGGAACAAAGATAAATGCAGATTGTGCGCGCTAGCCCTTAGAACGGGATAAAACGGCGTTTACATTTTGGGATACCCTATTTCAATTAAAACGAATGCCTTTTGGTTTGCCTAGGGCAAGATTCACATTACTGTGTTTGATACTTCGTTCAACGAACGGACCCTAGAATGTTGTCGTGTATGCAAACAATATCGTTGTTTACAGCGACCCAGAACCAGGCTGTACTGTAGCTGGTACGGGACGCTGACCTGCGGATAAATGAAGCCAAGACACAACTCACTTGAAGTTCCGTACTACTACTGGGATATAAAGTGGGTCTCGGAAGAGTTAGCTTACTGCCACGATTGCTGCTCCGCTGAGTCGCACAATACCCAGACCCGGAGACGTGTTCTCTGTTCCAGCGGTCGCCAGTCATCATGATATCGGCGCATTCCCAAAGCGGAGAAAGGAAGTTATCGAATACGTCGGTCGGGTCCTAACTAAGGCTGAACAGATGAACGCGACCATTGAGATATTATACTTGGCGAAAGTCTGGACATTCGATAGTGGAGGTCATATCTGATTGGACAAATGTTACATGTTGGAACCAGTCGCAAACAATTCGAGTAGATCAGAGGCTTGAGGGATCCAGGATGCGATAATAGGACGTCACAATCCAGCACCTGGCATGGAAGTGGAATCATTTGGCTGATTCGCTTTCAAGATCTGGGGCCTAATACGAGGCACCAGGATCAGGAGTGGGGTAAACAGCCTCACCGTCAATCTGAATGCCAGAGGTTTGGTGAAATCCGACTGCGTCTGCATGAGGCTTGCATATTTTCCCTGAACTCTTTTGATTCGAAAATTCTGTTGCCCGTGATACCTCACGTCTTGAGACGGAAGCTTATTGTCAAAAAACATGAGTTGGCACACACGTGGTGCAGCAAGACGTACGACTTATATCCGCAGAACCGGACTGCCTCGCGATGAGAAGTGAGGTAATGAAACTTGTGAGGTTCTGTAATCGGTGTCAAATAATGGACACGAACAGGGAAACCCATACCACGGGCCATGTTCCTCTCTCAAGAACCGATGATATCCCGAGACCCTTTCCGTTAAGAAGCGGCGGGAATCAGTATATCGTAAGAACGATAAAATACCTGTCGCGATGAATCAATGAGGTAGCCGTTTGTAAGCACTGAGCGACGGCGATCACGAAAGTCGTAACGCCTCATATCAAGGCCAACTGTGGTATGCAGGAAAAGATCTCATCCAATAAGAAACCTAGCCACAAGCGTTTTGAGCAGCTTTTTTGCGTGGCCACACACTTCTTTCCAATTGAAAGCGAAGGGCATAACGAAACACGCCACGCGTCCGACGGAATCATGCGTTCCTCGTTGAAGTAATAGGATATTTCCACTGGGTTCACTGTTCGGCGATGTTTCTTCTCCACACATACGGTCCCATCTAGACACTAACTCGGCCTCAATAAACTAGCGCCCGGTCAACTACTATATCAATTATTTGATTTCCTACCTCACACTTACGAATTCTACCTATCCAAAACTGCTGAATCCACTTGAGAATAATGAACCAAACTGATATTCAACAAATTGTTTTCAAATGATGTGATGACGATGTATGATGATCAGGGTTTTTTGTCAACGGTTGAAAACCAGATTTATATTCAGTTTTTGAAAGCCACGAATTTTGTTCCACCGCTTGAAGAATCAGATATAATGCGATACTAGGTGCGCTGTTTGCGAACGACGAGTGCAATGCATGTAGGAGTGCGTACGTGTTCAGCATGATGTTTGTGTTTATACTGTGAGTTCTAATGGGCGGCGTATCGTTTATTTTTTAATTTTCATAAACCTATGTTGTGGATTTGAATTTCAACTTTGGCTAAAAATAAGTTTCTGAAAATACATTTTCCAATTCCAGTCTACTGAAAGAATCCGTAGTTTTATCTTTCATCCCGCTGAGGCGAACAAAACTCACGCGCAGTGTGGATAATAGGTAGGACTGACATCTGTGATATCCTAGCGCAGCTATATGCACACATAACATTCAGACCAGCATGCACGTTAAGAAGACCTTGACCATTATTCGGAAGTTTGTATGCTATAGGTAATAGCCGTTACACATCAAAATGCCAGAGTGCACTGGATGGATACTTCATTTTCGCAATACACGTTGCCCATCCTAATAAAGCCAGCAGGTTTTCATAACTTACAACCTTGCATCTAGAAAATAGCGCACCTAACCGTCCGACCATGACGGCTAAACAAAGTAACCAATGAACTTGGCACCGAACGCCCTTGGTATCCTGAAACTACCGAAAATACTGAGTAGCTCGTGATAAAAATACATGCGACGAGTGTAATTTAAATTTCTAGTGTTCTCTCCTATGCAGACCCTCAAAACGTGTCAACCTAATTTGGTTCCGGTGACTTAATTGGCAGTGATGCTATATCGTGTCTTCGCTCTGCTTACCGGCCGCTGGTGTTCTGGCGCGCACATTTCGACCGGCTTGAAATGAGGTTGCCTAATCGTGCGGTGGATGCTGACCATGATTTCCATTCAAAATAATTTCGTTATACAGTGCTACTTGGCTTCTAATAATAGGTTAGACGAAAACTTTGTGAGGCTCGCTACATCATCAGTAACTCTCTAAATAAGGCATGGGTGGGCTCTCCCAACTGTATGCTTCGAAGGCCTTGGCTTCTACTAATAGGTTGGACGAAATCCTTTGTGAGGCTCGCTACATCATCAGTAGCTCTCTAAATAGGGCATGCGTGGGCTCTCCCAACTGTATGCTTCGAAGGATTTTTTTCAACATCGTCAAAAAGGAAATTGCATGCGCCTAGATTCCGGGCTATGTTGCATCCTCAACTTAGGGTTCTGATCAACGATTACTTTCATCGGCTTTTGCACTAATATTCAGGGTTTCGATAAAATCAAGGAAGTCTCAAACGGCGTCAGTTTAGAGAAGCCTACAGAAGAAAATATAAGGTTAGTTGGTCGACGACATAATACGCAGCCGGCTCAGGTGTAGTGGTGTATGAATAAACTACTTGTAATGGCATTCTACGGATGTCTAGTTGTTGGCCATCAAAAACAACAAATGCACTGATTGACCACCACGGCACTTTCTGGCATGCTGATGTCTATCAACTGCCCTTGTCAATAATGCCAACTCATGAGGCTCTCATCGGTTTACTTTTGCCTGATGGATAGTCAGATTCAAAAATACTATGCGGAAAGATATTTGGAAAAAGCATGGGTTTATCTCTTCTCACCTTAGATTATCTGCGGTTGGTATCTGTTACCTATGAATGTGGCGGTTTCCAGTTTAGCACTCAATGCCTTCAAATTTGTTTAGAAGTGTTCCTGCAAACTTACGCCTGCAAAATATAAAAGAATTAGATATTCACTAGAAATGTTTACCTACCGTGCACAAATTCAGTTATTTGGAGCTCCAGTAAAGGATGAGAAAAATGAAATCATCTTTTGAGCAACATTTTCTCACTTTTTTTTATTAATGTTGCAGAATTGCGTGTCCTAAAGTTTTCCAGACTACCATCCAGTAACACAACGTCGAACATATGCATAACTGTCCACATTTGTTTCCGCAATCTCTACAACAAGATTTAGTCAGTTAAAAAAGTACGTTTAGTTTGAATCAGGCCGTGCACTTATACGAAATTGAAACTTAGCCCACATTATTTGCCTCCAATGGCGATTGTCATATTGCTTCCCACGGGATGCACCAGGCACTGGATACTTAGAGATTATTAGAATAGCGTAAACACGCGCAAGTTGAGTCACACCTGAACAACCAGCAGTCGATGTAAGGAGTAAAAGCGCAAAATGTGCTGTCATGCCCGGCTTATAAAAACCTGTTCGAAGAAAATGCATAGAATGATGGGGCTAGCGTGGATTTATATAGATCACGTTGACCGTCAATATTGATTTTCTGACAATGGTAATTGAAGGGATCTTCCCCTCAATAAAGAGAAGTTGCCTGTTACCTACGTATCGTTTGTCAAGCGAAGAATTGAGCCGATGAAAACGGTTGGATTTTGTGTCATGAATGGCATACACTAATGGATGATTTCAAAGTACGCCGTCCGTAGGGCACTCGGATCATGAAACTGTTCCCACATACGAGCCCTCTTCCAAAAAAAGCGTCTAATCATCTCTAATTTGCCAACACCTTGATAGGTCTGAACTGAAGCACTGCACTGCAGCAAACTAACATTATTACTCAAATATCCAGTGAACAGTGCTTCAATACCTTTCGAATCATTCCTTTACACGTTTGTCTCCCCTTACCTTACATTGAAACTATTCACATCGCTTTCACCGCCAATATGGGCAGCTACTATGTTTTATGAACCGTGTTCTCGCACATATAGTGGACCCCAATAATTTCCCATAACATTTTTATTTATTTGAACGATAATTTTCATTCTCCACTTTGAGTCAACGTAGGCGCGGATATGAGTTTGCTAAGTTGCCCATTTAAAGACGGCTTGGTGAATTTTGACGTCTGTGCATTCACATCTGAATACGAGCAGCATAAGTAGGAAATATTTACATGACTTCCGTGGAGGTTGGCGGTGCTGAATACTCCAAGGGTATGCAAAGTATATATGTTATGCTATCCAGAAAATGGACAATTTTGTTGATGGTGAAAATGTTCACTTTGACGCTTGACGAATCTTGCGTTTCATAAACAGGCGAAAAGGAACAAATACGGTACGTTGCAGAAATTTTGTAGTGGATAAAATCGAGTTTTCGGAATTTCCAACAAATCAATTCTGAACAGATATGTGTCATGTAAGGCGGCCCCATAGGAGAAATCCACCATTCCCGATATCCCACATTTACCAGCCTGAGTTGCAATTTGCAAACATTTGTTCAATTAGAGGTGATATAAATTAGCCAGAAATTTCCCGGCTATTCCTTCGGTTACGCAATATTGTTTTAAGGCCCAGAAAACCCAGTGACGGGAATGACAGGTATGATTGCCGTGCATTTTAGCATGCACCCATCATCAGTCATGAAAAATACGATGTCTCGGTGATCACGAGCGAAGCTTGATACATTTTGACGCCCTTTTACAGGTCAAACCATCCGGATCACACTATATGTATACTGTTTAAGACAACCTAATTGAGGACAAACCAGGCTGAGCTTTCCTAGTAGGATGTCGTCCTCGCATCGGACAACTACGCTTTCCAAGTTTTGCCGCTATTTTGTAGGTGAAAGAAGGGGCCTCTCCCTGTGTGCTGACCGCTGGATTTTATTCGTATAATAAACCCACTTTCGCACGACTTAAACTGAGCCTGTTACCGACACGGGAATAAGCATCGCCTAGTTCTCTGAGGCCAGAATTTTCTCATATCAGCAACTGTTATAAGCTGCCATTGTGTTGACGATAATATTGGCAAGATGACTAAAATGTCACCGCAATTGTTTGGCTTTAGAAACTAGCTTTGCACGGTATCTTTTCACGTAAATAACGTTTTATATTGAGAGAATGAGGTTGGTTTACTTTCGATTACTTTACCTAACAGCATAAGCCAAAATGGACAAGATCTGAAACTTGCGCGTGCTGTTATCTTACATTTTAACTTCCTCCGTTTTTACCCATCAGATGGTGATCCTGTTGGACAAAACATTCAGTGAGTTCTGCAGTTCAACACGATGTGGATGAGTACAATTACGGGCAAAGAGCAAACGGGACATCTTGCTAAGTTGATACAAATTAGCAGTTCTTTTTTGGTCATTGAGGTTTGACCGCAATCTGTCTTTGAATGTTCACAATGCTGTGTTACAACGTCCACTTGCTGCCTGAAATTTTGGTGAGTTATTATTAAATTTGATTTTGATGATGCATAGCCGAAAAAACGTGTTCAGTACTGCGCCAGGAACATGTAATTAAATGAGCTAGTAAAACAGTAGAATAAAGCGGATTTCTAACTGTTGTTCCTGTAATATTATTGTTACTTTGTCAGCCAAATTTGCTAACATTCTATTTATTCTTACCATGATCAGACTTTACGAATCGCTACAGAAAGTGACGACAACAAGTGCGCTTGATGTTTAACCTGTTGTGTGTACTGTATACCCCTATGCTACTAAATGAAGGGATCTTCTTTGTAACATCTGAGGACCGATGAATAAGCCATCCGACCCTTTGAAGCCGCCAAGTCTCTGCGCACTCTGCAGTATGGAGATAAATGTGCTTTTATAATTTTGTGAAACGTGCACTACTTGTATGCACCACTAAGTTATATTTGCACCCGTTGTGAGCTGGGGAGCATGACTATTTCTCATCAGTGTTGGAGTACACAATGTACTATTAAAATACATTCCAGAGGACGTTCGCTTCTTCTGTATTTTTGGAGGATACATCGCTCGTCCAAACATACCCAACACCTAAATGCATGGCTGCTCTGTTGATCCGAAGAAATGCTCTCACGCGATAGAAGACACTGAGTTCTCCCTCATAGCCCACTTAATACAACAGCAAGTCCTCTAGTAAACAGGCACTAAGTTCATTGCTTTCGATGGAAATTCGGTATCCCAATTTGTGCAGTGCAACTGAGGGGTTGTACAACATCCCATTTGGGGATTCACGAACCTTTGGACAATAGGAACCAATCTCACCGACCATCACAGCTGCATTTTCCGCCTTCATTATCTTTCAAAAAGAATGTCCTGATTAATGTGACAACTTGAAGGCAAAGCGTTTGACCAACAACCATGCAACCTTGGCGCAATTATGCTATTTTTCTAATATTGCCGTTTTCCGCAATAGATGAAAGATTTGCTAAAGGGCTGCTGTGGCAATGGACAGCACTCTAAGTCATGCGTAATAAGCCATGGCCTTTGCGAGTCTGTCCATATCTAGGTGAAGTCATTGGATCATGGTATTGCGAAATTGGAAATACTTCGACCAGTGGGAACATGCAGTGTTGTAGCCATTCTTTAGCTCAGCTTTGGCAGTCTGTTTCCGTATGGCAAACTTCAATTTGATCACCAGGGCCTTGCTTTAATAGTTCCGTCAAACGTTGGATCAAGTGTGATTCGAACTAGGAGCCACGATCCGTGGTTATGAAAGAAGGAACCCGAAAAGCGGAAATCCATCCATTGATTATTTCGCGAGCGATGGTATCTGGGGAAGTGTCAGTTATGGGGATGCCACGGGGCTACCGCGTAAAACGATCGACACAAGTAAGGAGGTATGGGAATGAATTGGATGTCGGGAGAGGGCTGGTATCTATGTGAACGTGGTCGAATCGACGGTTTTGAGTGGCGAGGGTACCGACGGGTGATTGGGCATGGCGAATCACTTTTGAACGACCCAGTCACCCATATACTTGACTGTTCGACTCAATCGCTCACTGGATCGGGAGGCTTGTCTATTTTCTCATACGCACAAACATATCGCATTAAGGTGACACATCGGACATTGATTGTCTGCCCCGCCTAGCCAGCGGCGATGTGCCGACGCGCCCACATACACGCACTGGGATCTATATAAAGGCAAACCGAACCCAGTCAAGACACACAGACTCGCGCGCGCAGGGAGCAGGACGTCAAACTCTCCACAAATCCACGGACGATCATAGAACACGTGTAGCAGCCAAATAGCGGATAAAACACGTTACCGCCCTCCCGACTTTCACCAAGGAACTCTCACATACGATAAGTTCCTTTGTGACTTGCTCCCATTTCGCATTGTATTCATTTTTATACGTGTGGCAACCCTGTTAAAAACTTCTATTAGTGCACATTCACCTTCCGTTTCGTATTATGGCTATCGCCATTTGTGCACTAATAATGTTCAACCAGGCGAGATTGCGACGTTCGGGGTACCTCCAGGCACATGGGGCTTATCGCAAATCGTGAGCTAGACATAGACTTTTTCGTTACGTGAATAACGTACTTGCGAATTCTGAACTCTGTCCATTGGTAAACAACCATTTCCGTTGAGGGTAGTCTAATAAAATTTCCATGATCCAATCAGGATTGTGTCTCTACACACACTGGACGAGAACAAATATACTCCGCGAACCATATATATTCCTCATGAAATCTGAATATTAAAAAAAACCACGAAGACCCCTGCCTAGATCATGTGCATCCCGAAGTTTGCTTGTCTATTCTGGACGTATCACCACAAACATGCTGCTTGTTCTTCCAGCCTTCTAGCTGCCCAGCTTAAAGCAGCGGTTTTCCATCCAAATTGATTATCGTGTTAGGTATCTAAGATGAATTCAGGCCAATTGTCGAAAGAAGGAAGCGTCGTTACGTTATTAAACAGTCCAAAGTATTGATCACCATAAAAGAATTGTGAGTTAATGGTTGTAATTTTAATCACCGGAACGCAATAGAGAGTAAAACACTGAACAACACACCGACGTTGCCGGTTCAACTGTAAATTATCTGCTCAATCTATTGAGATAACTTTGGCAAACTTGGCTGCGGTGTCTCCTACTGGTGGCATAATTGGAGATGAAAAAGTTCCTTTTTATCGTTTTGTTGAGCGTACTTTCAACTCATTTTGTAAAAGATGAAGAGAATGTAGTGGAGTTCCACAAACGTATATCTTGAGACATAGGAACGCCAGACTATGCCTTATCCTTACAAAATCATTATATCAAATTACGAAATGATGGCTGTACAGCTACAAATGAAAAACAATATGAATCAGCAAATTTGTGCCTGTTTTAAGAGAACTCGCAAGTAGCCGTTGGTACGCTGACTGAAGAAATCCCAGTACGCCAGTTTTCATTATTTCCTACTCGCATTACATTTGCTGGACTAGAGCTGTTCATGTTGGCTTTGATGCGACGCGCAGTAAAGGGTTGAAAAATTCATTACTGTATCAATAATGTCCAGGATATCACCGAATCCAGAGATGATTACTTATGCGCATTCATAGCTGGATGTTGACAAGCCTCACCTACACCGAGTTACGTGGCCTGAGAAAGCGGTTGCGCACTTCATTTATCGAGCGACTAAACGTGATGTGCAGTACAAATTTACACATTCCTCAGATATAAGTTTCTTGTGTTCACCTGGTTGGGAGCGGTTTCTTTTTTCCGACTTTCATGTGAATCCGGTCGGTATAAATAGTTATTATTTGTCTTTGCGGCCCCTATTGAAATCGAAATGACTTGATTCCCTAAATAGTTTAGTGATTCTTTAGGGAGTATTCTGGAAACATCAAAGCACCGTTTAACAGTGCAAACATAAGGTAGCGTGTATCCGACCAGGATCCTTAGACAAAAGCTCGCATTTGAAATAGGAATTCAAGTCCCTTGAATCTTTTTGACCTCATTTAAGAGATAATGAAGCATCTACAATATGGAGAAAGCTCCTGGGTTCTCTGCATGGGAAATTATAATCCCGCCCCGTTTAAGCTCATGAGAATTAGCTTAAAAGATAATGATCTTTAGAAATCTCATGATAATACAAAGTAAAACACCGCCACACAACCACCCAGCCAACGCACGCGAGATGATCTGGATAGGTGACCAGAGGGTTTGCGGCGCTAAACGCCGTATGGTGCTGATAATCAGCTGTCCATGGTTCATCGACACGGTGAAAATAACATCACAGTTTCAGGTTTAGCTCACCCTAGAGCTTCAAGAGATGCACAATGATGGTGGTTCTTAACAAAGTTTTAACACGTCATGCAGCGCCTCTGGGGAGTAAAGAATGCAATTTCTGGCTGACTCGTGGGATTAAATTGTTGCACTTCACTCACTCAAAACCAAATATCAGAGCAGCTGGGTGGCGCCTAATCGGTAACAAATACGTTTGCCTTTAGGACAAATAGAGGCTGGCTTGTTACAGTTGGTAGATTGTAGTAAAGCAACACAGAATGACCGTGTGTAAAATTCTTGTCTGTTCATCTCGGATCGTAACATTTTTCCATTTTTCTAGGTCTCGTCTGATTCAATCTGTCTACACACGTATGGTTCTACATTTATTCTCCAGGTTTTACTCGAGGTCTGTGGCTGCCACGCCATTCGAACTTGGGACTAGGTGTATTTACTAAGGCAAATAAATGTGCTATTTCACGCAACTTGCACTCTAATGGGTCATTCCCGCCGTATATATTTGTTCTTCTATACGTAAGAGAGTCATCATGTTTCATTATGATTATTTGGTTGAGTTTAATGGGCAAATACTCTTGAAGTTCTAGAAGAGGCAGCTAAGAGCTACAGTCTTAAAAAGTGAATAAATAATAATAGTAAATAGTTGATTGGCAAGCATATTGAAATGGACGAACGCCAAGAAGAACACGCGGTTTTCTGTATTTCCCAACTAGGCGGCGTTTCTCAATGGAAGTGACATGTAACCGCCGCCTCCTTAACTGGCTGTACTTCAACCCGCATTTCACAAGGATCTCGCTTTCCAATTATCAAATATATTCGGGCACGCAAATAACGTGGTTGCTTTTGGTTTTTTGGAAACCACAATTTCTAAGAAATTGATGACAGGTGGATCAATCTGGTTTTTAGGACACCATTTGACAGATAGCACCGACATTTTGGAACAGGTATGAGAACCTAACGTCCTATTTGAAACTTTCGGCATTTTGCACATGATTTTGCTGTACCCTCAATATATAGTGCGCGCGCAATTTAAGTTGCAGTTTGTAAGAAACCGGATTATCTCATCATATGTTTGAACCAAAAGCGTTCCAAGTTCGGCTAAGAAAATGCAAAACAGATACCTTTCTACAGATACCTATAAACATTACCAAAATTTTTCAAATAAATTTAGTGTTTTAAATCTTCATTTATATTGACAGGGGTAAGCAAACCTTAAACTATTTTGAAAACATCTCTTCGTTTGTGCCATTGTACGAGGATTTCGATTGCAACGTATACGAAGTATTTCTTCTATTCCCTTTGTCGAAAGTGGATTTTCCATATTCAGAATACGCATCCCAGTAATGTCAGCTAACTTAACCCGTGTTCACGTTCTCTCTTTATTGTTCACGCGGCTTCGGTTTACGCCCCATGCAGGTGCATTATAAATCATGGCGCAATGATGGCTGTACTGAGATGCGATAATTTCGGATGTTCTAAAGTGGAAAGCGTTCTTTGACAGCTACTATTATGCGCTTCAATTGACCGCCTTTGCGTTCGTAGGCAGTTCAATCATCTCTTATAATTCACATGTGGCAGCAGATGTTTTAAAATAAGATAAAGATGTTCAGACTTACTCACGATTCAACATTTATTGTCAAATTAAAGCTTACTAACCCGTGACTTTTTATGACATATAAGTAAAGTTTCTTGTTGAATGACCGATGGGTTTCTTAAATTTGGCTATTTTCGTCCACAATACTTTCACTGTTTACATGGATCAAGCAATCCGGCAGTTAAAAATTCGTACAATCTAATTTCCATGATATTTCGATCCGGTTGGTCGAATACAGCAAGACTCCTATTTTGCAACCATTTTGAACCGAAGAACAAGGCTGTTTCAATAGAATCCCCTGCCTTTGGTTGTACCCACCGGGATTGAGTGAGCGTGTAATTCACTAGCAAAGTTACCTGCCTGAGATCATCAGAAACCAGATATTTAGCGAGGTTGGAGGTGAACGTCTAATCGAAATCAATTCGGAATGCAATTTAGTTCACCCGTCGAGATCTGCCAAATCCAGGTTCAAGTGAAAAATACGGTTAACAGATACTTGGGTAAGGCGACTCTGTGACGAGCCCAAACTTGAGTTAAATGAACCACTAAATAATTGACAAGTTAGGCATACGTTGGATGACTGTGCATAAACATACCTTCACAAGAAACGAATGTTCGTAGAGTGATGAATTAGCTTATTTAAATCAGACCTGTCTTGTCAAGAGTATCTTAATACTGCAGGAGCAGCAGCAGCACTCAGATCATTCTGCAATTCGACTTAACAGAGAGTTCCCTTTTTCATTTTGCATACCCAGTAATTTTGTCTCCGAGAAGGTTGTCTCTAACTACATGGGCAAAGGACTTGATTTTCGTAGTATTATAGACGTTAGTGTCACAAGATTTTTCTGAAAATTGTTTTGTTCTTATGCCTCACCCTGGAGTCCGTTTGGTGGTTTCACGATAACGTGATTGTTGCTTGACACTATAAAAATTAAATCGGAACGAATGAGACAGTCCAATTTGATGGATAGTTGCGTATATTTTACACTTACACGTATATAGCTGTTCTGCTTTTTAAGCCGAATTAAATAACCAACCACCAAATAGTAGTCAGTAATTCAATATAGGTGATGCACATTTTGTCGCCCTGACTACACGTTTGTTTTACCTGCAAGGGTTATTGTAAAAACATCAATCTCTTCCTTATCACTGATTATAGACTTCCGGTTATGACTCAGAGGCTATCACATAATCTTTTCACTAACTATCGATAAGCACCATAATCTTCACTCAGGATCTCCCGTATATTGTCAGCGCAGTACACTCAGCGACAAGGCTAAATCATTCAAACGCGCCTTGCCAACTTTGTGTTACATAATGTAAATTTTCTCCCATAAATTCCGTCGAACTCTGAGTTTTTAGCCACAAGGATACCACTTGTAGTTTCATGAATAATTGACCCAGTTTAGCCTTCAATTTGTGGTTTTTTGGATTACATCGGGGACATTGAAGATCCGTACGTGAGAGCGCTAAATATGGTTAGACATATTCAAAAAAACTTTATATCATAGAGAAAAACGAACATGCAATTGGCGACCAAAAACAAGCCAGCATCGTTTGCTTCTCGATTCAAGATATAGCCTAACCATAGCGGCCAAAGAAGTGCTTGTGCAAACATTCGGCAAGCTCATCTAGCGAAAAAAATCAAATACGGACGTCCAAAATGTATCCATTTTTAAAAAAAAACTATGGTTTTTATGAATATTGCTGAACCCTGCGCTCAACAGGTATCATGGACTGGAGCGATTCACCTATATCAACGGCGACACCACCCAGGCCGCTTAATGAACATATCTCCCTCAATCTGTTTTTAAAATTATTCATTCCTCACCTTTTCCGTTAATGAACATATCTCCCTCAATCTGTTTTTCACTAAGTTTCAACATCGCCAGGCGTGATTCACTCTCCGTAGAGCATTTGTACTTCCGTTGGTGTCCATCCTAACGAACAACGTATTGAATTTGGACACGGCACCATTGACGCTTACTTAAGCCTGTTAGTCGACCCGCCGATTTGTCGGGGCCAGGATGAAAAGCGCGATATTTGAAGATCTTCTCGTCGTGGTCGATCGAGAAATGCTAACAAAACTATCCGAATTCTCTATTGTCGTTACGCACGAAGGAAATGCATTCTCCAGAATATTCTCTCCCACAACCGAAAGAAAACCTGGCAGGTCAATTGGATTCCACATTGAACTGAAATGAATAGCATAAGATGAGTAATGCACAACCTAACGGTTTCTCACATATTGCTATTTCGTTTCTGTACACCGACTCTAGCAGGATTTCAAGGGAGCATTCCGGATTATCCTTGAATTGAGACTTGCTACTAAGTCGTTCAGCACTGAACTGCTCACACGAGTCAGCATAGTTAATCCTTCTACCACACCCACAAAATACACATCTCCGTCGGTTTCANACCGACCCTAGCAGGATTTCAAGGGAGCATTCCGGATTAAACCTCGAATTGAGAGTTGCTACTAAGTCGTTCAGCACTGAACTGTTCACACAAGTCAGCATAGTTAATCCTTCCACCAAACCCACAAAACACATCATCGGTTTCACTAACATTTATTATGTGTCTTTGGAGAATATCCAGGGGTATATCTTGGCGTTTCTTATACCATACCGATATGGGCATACACCTCTTTCGGTTGACCTAACAAATCGACCCGCTAGTAGACCACAACATTGCGGACAAATAGAAGGTATACCCAGAGTCTGTTCTTTCACTTATTCCAAGTGTATGACTGCCATTTTCATGACACAAATCTCCAGTTTCATTGGCTAAGCATTTCACTTCAAATTTTGCGACTTCTTTTACTCCGTTCGAACACCGCAGTAAGGTTCATCGAACACTCATCCTAAGACGTTCTTTTAACATTACACACTATACAGTACAAGAAATGTTCAGATAAGATTCAGCTGTCCAGTTCAACTCTGGCGCAGCCACTTGATCAATCGATTAAGGCCTGCATGTATAGATTTAAATGAAATGGTTTCAATGAAGACTCAAAGCGATAAACTTTTCAAAGCTCCAAACAGTTTACTGCATTCAGCAGCTGCATTCATTACATGTGTTGCTGACATTTCGCTGCACTCAGCATTCAGAGGCGACAATAGCATAAGCGCGCTGATGAGGCCTAAATGAGGTCTCAACCTGAGTCCAGTACTGCTCAAGTTTGGTGTGGACCTTGAAGAAAAAAACGAGAGTGATTTGTGTAGGAACAGTGGTCTTCTTTCTAACCAAGCGCAAAAGTTCCAAATATATGAACGTTTAATTCAACCTTTGACAATCGTTGGAAGTACAGGCCGCTGTGGTGGACCAACTCGCTGTCCATCAGTTTATCTATTCGTCGAACGTGACAACAGATGGACTACCGCCGAACCGACAACCAGGTAGCTGCGTGCAGTCTGTTGACCAAAGTTACACGCTGCATACAAAATTGAAGATAGATTTAGCTATGTACTTTAAAAAAGAACCTTGCTACTATGACGTGACAACCTAATTGGAAGCGGTCGTTCTCTTGCTTCCACGAGCGGTCAAAGGGAACCGTACGGAAACCGAATATTGAGAAGCTTGGCCCTCCCACTGTCGACACCAGGCGCGATTGTTCGCAGCTTGAATGTATTTTCCCTGATTGTTCGAGCTCCAACGCAATATTGACCCCATACAGTTTAGTTGTCCTAATACGCGCTAACTGACGATTGTCTTTAATCACAATTTCGGTTGTATCTGGTTTTCCGCTAAGAAGTCTCCTTAAAATAGTTTTCCGGTTGAAGAAAGTTCACGGAATATCATCTGCAATCACCGACGAGGATGTATAGTAAATCGACCTGAAATGTTGCAGTGTGTAGTTAGGATTGGGTGATTTTCTATTTGGTTGCGCACACAACAGTGCTGGATCCATTCTGCTCATGAGTTCCTGCCCACACGGTTTCGACCAACCTTCGAGTGTTGTCGATAAACTTCACTGCCTGCGAGGGTGATTCATGCACCGTGTATGGA